TGTAGCATGTCTTGTATCTATCCAGTGATGGATCATATCTTTACGGCAAACTTGAACTTGATCACGGGAATTATACTTTATCTCTTCCAACTTGTACTTTTCAATTCCCAAGGTAATGCCTAGAACCATCCATTGAAACACGACAGATTTGATAGCATCAAGAACAATGGGGGCATGAGTATGATCTGTAACAAATAAGAGTAATAAATTTTGCAGCTTATTTTCACTCACTTAATATTTCATTTCCATTAGTTGGTAAGGAAATGGTCTCAGAATGTGTACCTGCTGCTCCTTTAATAAAAAGGAAGGTCATACAATAACAAATAGGGCATATTGACTTACCTATTAGCCAGCAGCTTTGCTTTTCACTTAAATCGTTAATAATGATGGTAGGAAGACTAGTCTCAATACTGCAACCTATCTCAGGTGGGTCATTCTTGTAAGAGATGGTAATAGGATGAATCATTTTATCATTAGCAGGAACATTATGCTTACGATTGCAACGAACAACAGCTGACATATTTAATTTCTTCTCATCATATTGCAGTACTTTAGCACTGATTGATAAAGCTTCAAGGACAACCTTACGAAGACGATCACAATGTCGTGAACGGCCTGTAAAATAAATTTCAATAGATTCAACATTCTCACAAAGGAGCACTGATCCAAAGAGTTCCTCTGTGTAGAGTTTCACTGCATGGCGGAGCTGCTGGGGAAAATCAGAAGTGCGACTATCAATAAAAAATAAAGGTTCTTCTTCTCGACTTAACAGTGAGACTACCAATGTTGGAAATAAACCCTGTATATAGAAAAGTAAATACGTTTACAGTCATAATTATTTTCTTTATTTAGCTACCTGTAAAACTGTTTTATCAAACTGAATAAAAAGTGGATCAGCTACTTGAGCAAACAATGCCTTCTGTTCTTCATTAAGACGTTCAGCTGGTAGAAGTATAGGAATGAAGTATCGAGATTTATCAGCTGTTTTGATAGTGGAGATAACAAGGAAGTGTTGCATCAAAGACAAGAGATCCCCTTTTGAAAACAGGCCAGGAACAAGATTCAATTGAAGATTGTCCAACAGAGATTCATCAAAAACTCCATCTCTTTTAAGCAAATTTAGATCTTCCCATGATAAATTGATTCCTATTTCTGTTAAATTATCAATGAATGACACACATGCAATATTGGAGAGACAGTCTATCAGAAACTGAGGATTAGTGAATACTACCTGTGGAAGGACCGTTGGATAGTAAATACATAATCTCATTGAGTCTAAATAAATGAGACACTCATTGACTTCTCCTTGGTCCATTTCTAACCTTTGACCAATAGAGTAACAGGACTCAAGTGAGATCATTCCATGTGTCTCCTTTGATGCTTCATTCTTCAAATTTAAATCGAACACATACCAACGTACTGGTATGTTAATATTACCTCTAATATCAGATAAAAGACGATGACAAATATCAGCAGAGATCTTCTCTCGGTCCCATTTGCAAAAGTTATCGACTGGAAAAATGAGCTCGTTAGAATCACGATTATAAAATATAAAAAGATCAAGAAATTCATTCAAACAAGATTGAAGGGTCTTGTTCTTTTCCCTGATTGTTTCCTTGAGGCCAAAAAATCTTTTAAATTTTGACTTGTCACAATGAGTGGCTATAATGGCAAATGCTGGTTCACTATTGTCTTCTCTTGAAGTTGCTGCAACAGAACGTACAAATTTCTCAATAATCTGAAGGTTTGTCAGAGTCATTTCTTTTGGTGTATTGAGTGCTTTACCATTGATAGAGTAAACGAATGTAGGTTTGTCATGAAGGGATTTGGTAACCTTCATTACAATGATGTACAGTGAATTACCACGTACGA